CCCACAATAGTTCGATTCAATCTAAAAATCGTAAAAAGGTTTTATGTATGTTTAATGTTAATCAAACCACAATGATGCGTCCACCGCGCCTTCTTGTGTAGTCTCTTTTGTGAAACATACTACAATAGCTTAAGGTTTACTATCAAACGAATTATAAACTTTTTTTTTTCCTATCTAAGGTGATGGTCTAAAGAGACCATATCAGCGTAACCTAGTAGGTGAGCTCACGGGGCTCAAACTTGACGATGTTTCTAACTAAAACCTTAGCAAGACCCGTGCTTCACAGAATCTACCACCGGATCGGAAACGAGACCCACTGAGAAGTTCCGGCGAGAAACTCAGTTGGCTGTGTTTGTGGGTTAATTTACTCGCTGAGCCCTTCGCCGCAAGCGACGGGTTCGACGAGAACGATGACCGGTGCTTGGGGTACCTAAAATCACTGTTATTGGATCGGGAGGATCCGAAATGACGTGTTTTGGGCGATGTCGACTGTTTACCATTTGGTCCGCAGGATCGCCTATGTAGTTTCCGGCGGCCACAGTGAGAGGGTTCTCATGTCGTGCCGCTTTATCGAAGTAGTTAACTACCACTTAGATTACTTAGTTCATGATTTTCGTCACCTGACATTTGTTCCAATATGCGTAATATTATATATCACTTCTTTAGGTGATCGGAAAAGTGTACATACATTCTTTAGATCATCGCATAACATCAGATAAGTAACTTTCAAATAGACATATAATATGTCAGCGACATAAAATGTTGTCATTTTGATAAATAAATTAAAATCATGTCTCAATAAATCTGAGTCAAAAGAAATTTTCACTTTGAGAATTATAGGTGTAATACATAGAGAGCGGCCTTAAGCTAAAAATGAAACTAATTCTAACGCATTAAACTTTGCTTTCTTGGCTACCTCTGGAACTAACTGTCTTCTTTGGCATTCCTTGAGCGAAGAGGGATTTCATGATTTTTTTTGTGATCTAGCATAGGTGGGGTCACGATTTGGAAACGTTGTGTCGTGGCTTTAGTTACATTGGAAATAGTTGGTCCACTCATACAAGCATTAATAAACCTGTACATACGTAGTACGACTACCTTAGGAAGTGATTTGTTAGGGGCAGTAAGGCGAGGGAGATAACACATGAATTGAAAAAAAAAAAAACTAGGGTTTGAATATAGCAGGAGCTGTAAGGTGGTTCGGTGTTCAGAATCTAATTCTTTTGTACTTTTCAACAACGTTTACATTATAAATCCGTCAACATTAGTTGCTATGAACCCTTTAACATGCACACAACGCCCGTCGAAAGCGTATCAATGGACCAATTATCAGCCATAAACGTTGTTCAATGTTCATAAGCATTCGTTTAACCACATGAATACTAATCAAAAAATGATTTGCGTATCCAACAGCTACACAAGTCTACTATTAGTAGAATAATATATGCTTAAATCGCGGTTTTTTCCCCTACCTAATCTCTGGAAACCTAAAAGGCCATTCCAGCAACGCTCGAATGAGTAGCTGAGCTCACGGGCTCAACCCAAGAGAATTTCTAGCACTAGCTCTAGTAAAAGCAGTGCTTCCCGGAATATACAACCTGATCGCGAGCCATTGAGAAGATCCGGCGAGAAACAAGAAACTGTGTTGAACTCGCCCATTTCTTACTCTAGAGCCTATTCTAAATATACAGATACAGAATTTTTGTATATTATTAATAATCAAGCAATGACTTTCACTGATAATACTATATTTAGGCACAGTCACGTTTAAGCACCAATTTATGTAAAATATAAGCGAAATTAAACCGTAAAACTGCTTTAATCGGGTCATCAGTCACTGATTGCTACTTTAAGTTTGTTGCTGTTTATTTGTCACTGTGTTTACCGGTCACCGTTCTCGTCGAACCCGAACCCGAAGGGCTCGACGAATAAATTAACCCACAGACACAGCTCACTGAGTTTCTCGCCGGATCTTTTCAGTGGGTCGCGTTTCCGATCCGGTGGTAGATTCTGCGAAGCACGGCTCTTGCTAGGGTTCGTGTTAGCAACGTTTGAGCCCCGTGAGCTCACCTACTAGTTAAGGTTCCGTTGAAATAGCCTCTCAAGGCTTCAGTAGAAAAAAAAAACTGTGTTTATATTAACGACGCTGCAATAAATGGTTTTAATCAAAAACTTTTGACACCGATACGTAGTTTTGTTTTTTTTTTACCTCCGAACATCAAACGAACCGATTTCTCTGTTCGATTTAACACCATACAATTAAAGAACTAGTTATACAAAAACAATCAATCAGTGTTGAACGGCCCGTAAAATTGTGTCCCATTTATAAAAACCTATTTAATTCCTAATTAACCTACATTTTGTTTCTTTTTCGACCTAATCGAATTTTAATTAATATGAAAAGAGTTTTAGCATGTCTTCTTGTAAATTCATCGTGAAATAACATTTAGGTAATTATGTTGAAATAATAAATTCATAATTTCGGTGTTTTGTTTGTTCCATTAAAAATTCTCACACTAAGCATGCCTTAATATAAATCTTTTGGTACTAAGTTTTTATGCATTTTATCAATCAAATTCAATTAAAGAAGTTTTAAAATGAAACGGTCATGAAACTAAAAAAATAAAACTTTACAAAAATGTCAACGAACTCGGTGGAAATGACGTAAGACTGCTTACTAAGGAGGATTAACCGTTCACGTTAAAATTCTAAAGTTGATAATAAACAAACAAAACGTGTCATAATAACTGAAATACGACATGAGTACCAAAGATATCAAATTACAAGCAATATTTTCTTCGCTTTTCGCGTGTTGTAGTCCTAATTAAAGCTACTTTATGGTTCATTCTCGCGTTTTTTTTATTGGAGTTTACTCCTTTAGAATCGATTTACATATATAGGCCCGGGGTATGAAAATTATGGGGACCAAAATCGTACTAGCATGTCACACGAAATGCGTTATGCGCCTGATTGGCTCCTGATTGCGTGATGCGTGCGCGCGCCAATCAGGAGCCAACGCGCGGCCGCGTTATCGCAGGTGACGCCGGGCTGCTGCGCCGGCAGTCCGCCACAAAGCCTCGTACTGATCGCGCGTTTCTCTCATTATTGTATTTTCATATATTTGTTAGTCGTTTGTTTTGTGTCTCGTTAATTTGTTAATAATCTGTAGTGTATCGTGTTGTCGTAATATAGAACTATTTCTCGTATTGTTTCGTTTAATTTTTTATATCCAGTAAACTCCAGTCGTGCGTCGGAGCGGACACACACACTTTTTTTCATATAATATTTCCGATGTTTCGGATGCTTTACAGTTTTCGTTGTCGCGGATGATTAGTCGTCAATAGTAGCAAAAGTAGCTTTAATTCATTTTGACTGCCTTGGTAGTGTAGTTGCGCCTAGGGTCGCGGCTTCGATTCCCACATCGGGCAAACGTTCGAGTGATGAATAGGCCTTTTTGTTCTTTCTCTGGACGTTTATTATCTATATATGTATATGTTTTAACGTGAATATTCTAAGGCACAAGATTGAAATCTTTGTTTTTATTACCTTAAGTCAGTAGACCAAGCTATTTGGTGTTAAATGACTTTTCAAAGGTATTGTAAGCAGTCCTATCAGATTGTGCGAATGGTTAGTATCTGTAAAAAGTTGATTTGTGTTAGCATATACAAGCAAAAATTGTCAAGAAGATGATAGTCTGTTAAAAACCACCACCACTTAGGACGTATAAAACCAATGCAGCATCAATAGATACAGCTATGGAATAATTGATAGTAGCTATATGATATTTACTCAACTGAAATTACAAAACTTAAAAATATAAATATAATTTGAAGTCTCGTGCTTTGGAAGAACTTTTTAACGTTATTATGTATATCTTCTTTAATATGCCTAATTTGACGAAACTAATTAAAATATTAAAATTAAAATTAAATTATTTAGTTTCCAAAATCCATCAAAATATACTACAGAGGATCTAACTGCCCACGATCACGAGTAAGTTAAGTGGCAAGTAATAATAGATCTTATTTTATCACTACAGGAAGCTCATATTTAATTGTTCAAGTAATTTCTAGGATGTAATTAAGAACTAGTATTATTTTGTTTACTGATATTGAAAGCTGATTTTCAAGATTATGAGGAAACATTAGAGATTCTATGCTTAATGTACATACATAAGACTTAATGTGCGAAGGTATTAACGTTTTAATAAAACACTTTAATAGCTAATAGAATTTTTTCTGAACAATTGTAAACAACAGGTACGTCCTGGCAAGATCCCACACTACGATTTACACATACTTATCCTTCATATTTTTATGAAAATTAAAAAAATTACGTTTCAGCAGTAAAACAACAATTTAAAATCGTCAAAAGAGTTTTATAACGTCTCGTAGTAAACAACAAAAATGTGAGTTTCTTGCCGGATCTTTTTTAGCGGGTCGCAATTCCGATCCGATAGTATGTATATTCTTTCGCGAAGCAGTTGCTTCTGAGTTGTTAGGTCTCCTTTGGAGGCGCTCAGGCAACTGTTAGAAAATCCCACTCCTCCTGGCTGAGCATTTGCACGCCCACCTGTCCTGGTGAAACTGGAAAGGCTAACAGTAATCACCTATTTTAAAAAAAAAATGTTATAATTTTTGTGAACAGTCATTTCTCGTGAAACAAATTTCGAAGTAATTTTTCCAATTAAATTTCTCACTCCAAACATGTCCTAATTTTCCTATACATTTTCTTGATCATGAGCCCACTGAGTTTCTTGCCGGATCTTCTCAGTGGCGATTCCAATCTGGTGATAGATTCTGCGAAGTGTTGCTCTTACTAGGGCTAGTGTTAGCATATTCTCTCAGGTTGAGCTCGTGAGCTCAGCTACCCGTCCAGACGTAGCTGGAATAGCCTCGAAGGCTACCAAAAATAGATAGAGGAAAAAAATAGGTTATGCGACATGGAAATGATATTTTTAAAAATGGCCAAAAACTATCTATATTTTTACTTAATTACAGGTCTCCTTAACGAGTACTATATACCGGACGACCCGGAAAAACAAGAGACGATCCTGCGGAAGCTATCAGCCTACTGCGGCAAGTCTGTCCTCAACTCAACGACAGAAGATACAGAGGCTCCATACAAATGGGACTTCTACCATTCATTCTTCTTCTCTTATACGGTCGTCAGTACTATTGGTTAGTGTTTTCATTTTCTAAATAAATTACTGTCTATTTTTACTTATACAATGTGTACTAGCTGATCCGGCAAACGTGGTTTTGCTATTTACATTATATCTAGGGGAAATTTTTTTTTGGGTTCGTTGACCCGATATGCACACAATATTTCGTGAGAATCGGTCAAGCCATTTGGCATTGGCAACCAGCACCGCAACACGAGAATTTTAGATAATATAAGTATTTGCTGTTATGCAAGAATTGGTAACACGTACCAATCTATATGGGTTTTTGGCTCGCCTTACCACCATCATCTAAATTGGGAATATTGAAGAGAGTAGTTACTGTAGCTCTTGACCATCTGAAATACCTAAGCATAGGAATTCCAGTGAGGATCATTTATCTAAATAACGAATCTCTAACTCTCTAAATACTGCCGCAAAGCACATGCGAGCATGTTTGGAGATGAAAAGCAGATGATAAGGTAATGATAGTAATGAACCTCAAATGTGTAACAGTTCGGAAAATATCTGTAGATCCCCTTTAATAATGAAACTTGGAAATGATAATAGCTCACAAAGACGGTAGTCGTGTTCTTTTTAATTTGCATAATGACCGGAGAAACTATAAACACATCTCAGGACATAATCTTTATAAACAATTATTAAAGCTAGTTTTATGGAGAAAAGCGAGACGTTTATAATTTTCATTTTATTATTTCCGAGCACTTGACAGTTTATCTGGCTTAGACCACAGTCCGAAAGGTAGTTGTGATTATGTCTACAAGTCTACAATGCAAAAAAAGTTATTTACTGAAAATTTAAACGGCATCACGGCAACGTAATCCATCAATAAATTAAGAAATGAACCCTGATGCACGACTTATGTTAATCGTATTATATTTTTCAGGTTACGGTAACTTGTCCCCGACGACACATTTATCGCGTATTCTTATGATATTCTACGGTCTCTTTGGCATACCCATCAACGGTATTCTACTTGCAAATCTGGGTGAATATTTCGGGCTTCAGGTGAGATATTTTCAAATTATAAAATTTACGAGTACCTATATTTTTTCCAATATTCCACTTCAAATCAACAAGTAAACGACATTAGAAATGAAATAAGTGATCCCAATGGATCCCAAAATGAAATGAGATAAATAATCCCAATAGGGATCGCCTTTATCCTTAGTTTCCCTAGTTAAAATGGTGATCTTTATTTGTAATTTATAACTTCTAATTTAAGCCTAAAATATTTTAATTTTATATTACAGCTAATATCAGTATACCGTAAATATAAGAAGAAAAATGAAAAACGAGCCGATAACTTGGACTTTTTCTTCAATAACCTTGGCATGCTCGGGCAGATTTTTCTTTATCTGGTCCCCGGATTTCTGTTCTTCATATTCTTGCCAGCTTGTATTTTCGTCGTGTTTGAAGGCTGGGATTATGTTGCGGCCATATATTACGCCTTTGTCACTCTCACGACGATTGGATTTGGTGACTTGGTTGCAGGTACGCGGAATGTCTTCGCAGATTTAGTTTTATTCACATTTCATTTAATTATTCAAATTACTTCCATATTTTATTAAAAAAGTTATTTAAAAAAAAAAAAATTTGACTTTATTGAACTCAAAACATGCAAATTAAAATGTCTTTATATAATACACGTATACGTTTTGAAGGTTTTTGTGGAATTGTTTCATAAGCCATTGTTGCAATAAAATCTCCGTAATGATTTTTCAAATAAAATAATTTCATTTTTAATCGAGTTACTTTCTATGTTCCAGGAACTGTCAACAATGGTTTCAAGTGGGGTTACTTTTTTACCTACCAGATATTCCTGATAGTCTGGATCACATTTGGACTTGGCTACATCGTGATGTTACTAGGTTTCATTACTAGTGGCATGAGATCAGAACGCATACATAGAATAGAACAGAAGTTTGCCTATCAATTTAAGGCCACGCAGAACAAGATTCTACAAGGATTCACCAAAGACATTTCCGCTCTTAGGAAAATCATAAACGAAGCCAATTTGATCAAAATTAAGGTAAGCTAGATTTGGATTGCTTTTATTTTGTTTTCCTTATCTAGTTGATTCCTTTTCCGTATTTTTTTTTTGTTTTGATGCGATTGTCATCATTTCCTACTTTAGATGTTTGGTCGTGAAAATATTAGAAAATAATCCTTTATAAAATATAACTTGCACTATTGATTTTTACATCGTCTGAATCAGTACTATAAAAAATGTAACATACATTTACTTTCACTTACCAATTTCTGCTTTTTACTATTTTCAGCCAATATATGTCGATACAACACCACACATTACGAGAAGTGCCAGCTGTCCAACGTTCACTTTTGACGTTGAACCAAGAGATCCAATCGTGAAACGAAAACGAGCAAATTCTGAAAATATTCAACTTTCTGCCAAAGATATGCTACGAATACAATCAGACACTGATTTACTAGGAATAGACAAAGAAAAGACATTCACAGCTTCTGCTCTCGTAAAACCAGCGGAACTCTTAGCTCGAGTAGTAAACGTACTCGGAGGCTTTGAATCACCTCAGCAAAAGTCTGGTATCAACTTGTTTGATGATGATCATATTTTAGCGAATGAAAAACCACCATTATTTAGCATAGGCCAAGATCTCATTACTAACTCACCAAAGAGAGCTAGGGCGCTCAGCGTGGCTGTACCGAATTACAGAAAAGAATCTTTGGCCACGAAACTAGATCATGATTTCACATGGACTAGCGGAGAATCAGGAGATAAGCTTAGACGAGAAGCTAATATGAGAAGTGGGAAATTATCACTGCCCTCTAAAGTCCCTCATTCAGATTGCTCTCAACCGCAAAGTATTATCTCAAAATTCTTCTTCAGAAAACAAAGTTCAACTGATAATCCGGCCGAATATATCAAAAGCTCTATGAGGGATCGGGTTAACAGTGCACAAGGCAGCACTGAAAGCATTAAAGACAATGGAAAACCTAGGCGTGGAAGTATATTTCCTTCATTTATATTCGGATCGTCTGAAGGAAAAAACGAAGCTGATGCATACAAAGAAAAGACAAAACGAGGGCGCCATAGTATCTTTCCCACTTTTGATTTCCATCGTAGCGAAGAAGATTCTGCAAGCGCTTACCTAGAAAAGACTAAGCGTGGTCGTCACAGCATTTTTCCCACATTTGACTTCTCGGAAGACGAAGACTTTGCTGCAATGCGAGCTTACCAACAGAAACCTAAGCGGCACAGTATATTTCCTACTTTTGATTTTAGTGAAGATGAAAATGCATCTGCTGCTAAAGTCTATAAAGAAAAAACGAAACAAGGAAGACGTAGTATTTTCCCTACATTCGATTTTAGCGATCCTGACGATGATATGGCTGAGCGTTATAAAGAAAATACAAAGCGTGGTAGACGCAGCATTTTCCCATCATTCAATTTCAGTGGTCTTACAAATAATGATGAGGATGATACAGTAGATGAAGATGAAGTGCAGAGATATCAAAACCGTACAAGGAAAGGTCGATTAAGTCTGTTTCCTACTTTCGGCAAGTCCAAGAAGAACGACGACGATAACTTGCCCGAAAGCTCTGACGAACTTGTAGATTATAAAAACAAGACCCGCCGCGGTCGCAGTAGTCTATTTCCTTCTTTCGGAAAGGATCGTAAAGACAGTGCACAAACAGATGATCCCAGTGATCTCGAAACTAGTATTCGACAATATCAAAAGCAAAGACTGGCACGGAATAGTGCTTTCGAAGGGGACGATTCCAGGAATTCTACTCCAGATAGAAGAAACAGTATTTTCTCTAGTGATATAGAGAATTATAGAAGTAAAACAAGAGGCGGCCGTCCCAGTCTTTTTGACCCAGATGTAAATATTTCAAACTTACCACAATCAGAGCAAGTGGAAGTTTTAGAGCATACTAGTGTTGCTGATTTACTGAGAGCTCTCGCAGCATTAGAGGCAGCTGGTCAAAATCCTTACAGTTCTAATACTGGTGAGCCATCAGGATTATTAGAAATGATATCTGAACCCTTGTCTGACACATCTAGAAGACGAGGCTCCTTGAGACATGATCTTCAGTCACAAACACCTCCTGGTTGCGTAGAAGACTGTACTGGTCCACGCCGTCGTCGAATATCAGCTAGAGCGGCTGCTCCTCAGTTTACTCCAACGCTGGCAACTGTTGTTGCTGGTACGGAATTACAGTTAAGTACCGCAACAGCTGCTAGAGAAAATCGCATGTCCTTGTTAACTCAGCCTCCACCCCCTTACTCTGAAACTCCTAGTGAAGAAGAGAACAAGCCTCGTCTTAGAAGATATTCTCCTGCTCCTGTACCTAGTGATTCTGGAAGGTCTGCAGGTCCTGTACCGAGACTTTTTTCAAGGATGCGCAAAGAAAGCGCTCCCAATACGGAGGACGGAGACTCGAGAAGAGGTAGCCTAACCGATATAGTCATTGATAGTTTTAAAGATAAAACGTGATGCGATTCCATTAGTGAAATTTAGTTTTAAGTATTCTATTTATTTTTAATATAGTTATAATTAAATAAACGTCAACACAAATTCATTGGTTATGGTTTTAATTTTTCTATTCCAATTTAAAAGATAAACAAACACAAGAACTAATTAAAAAGGAAGCTTTGATATTTAACTATATCTTGTTACAAAATGATATTCATCCTAAATAGGATATGCTCTGCTTAAGAAGATAACATTAAAATTTCCTACTAAAGTGGTTGTTGTAACCTTGAGAGGTTTAAATCATAAGCAAAAGTAACACGTGAGATTTCGCACTCATCTGCTTAGTTTATAAATAATATTATCATAAATACATGGGTGAATTCTCTAATCTAAGACATTTTCACCATATGAAATTCTTCTAAGATAAAACAAAATAACGTAATAAAATTGTTCAACATATTTATTTAGTACCATATTTTTGTACATTATACGGATAGTGTCTTACAAATATAAAATCAGTAAATAGTCCTCACACTAATATAGTGTATTTACAAGAAATAAATACCTATTTAAAATTAGGTTTTTTATCAGTTCCGTCGATAGCGCAGATCTATCGAGATCTGACAATTAATACAAATTCGACAATACAATAAGAACATAGTGTACGTAATTTTAAAAAATATATATATTTAGGTTAATGAATAATAATATATTCAGTTAATCGGATGGAATTAAAACTATTGGTGGTGCTGTAACTTAAAAATTATTTATGAGTATTTCAAGATTATAATTAACACAAAAATGTATTCATACACAAATATTTACAGTTAAACTATAGGTAGGCACGGCGTCAAACTTTTAAAACAATAATGCATCTCAGATCTATACATCGCAGTCTTACTGCGTTACGGCAACACGTCAGTGTTGAGATTGTCGTATATCATGAGAGTAACCTCTCGCGTCATATCACTTCAAGTATCAAAACTGTCCTGTCTTATATTCTCTATTCTTTCAACTTCTATGTTACCGTTGTCATCTTTGACGAGAGATTCAAATATTGTTATCAAATTTTCCAGGCCAATGAGGTAGCCGTCTTCGTGATTCCCGACCTTCCAAGTTGTGTTGTGATCAATGCTCACGTTTTCTGGTACAGGAACAGTCTTTGCGAAATCTATCATCCAAATGGATGCTTTCCTTTTGTCATGAACGAACAACAACGAACTCCCGATCAGTTCGTGTGTTCTGAAGAAATGAGATTCAGTCAGTGTTGCTCGAATGCTTCTCAGCCTTTCTAAGTATCTCACCTGTAAATTAAAACAACATTTATTGTGTTTATTCTCTATTTATTTTATACTGTGTAACTATACTGAGACGTTAGAACTTATATCTCAAGGTGGGTGGCGCATTTACGTTGTAGATGTATATGGGTTCCAGTAAACACTGAACACCAGGTGGGCTGTGAGCTCATCAACCCATCTAAGCAATAAATAAATAAAATACAAAATATTGATAGTAAGAGTAATTTTTTTGTAGAAGCAAAAGATTTTTCCTCATTAAATTTACGTAAATATGTCACTAATTTTAATATTAATGTTAAGTGCGTATATATCTTAAGTTGCATAAAAATAGAACTATATGACCAAGACACACTTTTAATCGTCAAGCTGAGTTAGTAAGTAGGTGTTTACTATGAAACCCTTAACACTTAAGACTATTAAGCACTTAACAAAACTGGGAGTATTCAATATGATTTGGGATTTCAATATGCTAACTAGTTAATATTACAATCTTACCGCAGCATTTGGACAACTACTTGTAAAGTCCTTGAAGGCTTCAGCTATTTGCTGTCTCGTCTTCGTGGTTTTGAAGTCTTTAGAACTTGTTCCATCGGCTTTCTTCACCCCGTCTATCCTGAAGCCTAAGGTTGAGGTAGAGCTGATAGTCTCCCTCCAGATCATGTACCTTGGCTTCGTGACTCCTTTGCTTCTGTGCTCTTCTTCTGAAGGTGCTTTTGGGTCTATTTGGATCATCTTTTCATACATATCCTGGAATGATGAAAATAAACTTATTAGTATTTTTAGTTAGATATTAACTATTACTTAGCTTAGATATTAAAATGTTATTATATATTATGTTTATTTTTATCCACTTGAGAGGTATGGTCTCAAGATATTGACATAAGGTTTTTAAATATTATTTTATTGCTTAAATGGGTAAACTAACTCACGCCCCACCTGGTCTTAAGTGGTTACCGCAGCCCATAGACATCTACAATATAAATGTGGTCACCCACCTTGAGATATGAGTTCTAAAGTCACAGTTTTACAATAAAACCGGCTGCCCCACCCTTCAAACTGAAACGCATTTCTACTTCACGGCAGAAATAGGCAGGGTGGCGGTACCTACGTGCGGGCCCTCAAGACGTCCCTACTACGAGTAATAGCACAAATATATTTTTACGGCTTTGTTTTTTATTACATAATGTTATTCCTTCACCGTGGAATTCATTCGCAAACATTTGTTAAATACGTATTTCATTAGGAAAATTGGTAACTGCCCGCCAGATTCGAACATTGAAACAGTCGCATCGCACGATACGAATCCACCGGGCGTCTTATTCTTTAGGCCACCAATACTTCAAGTCTGTGGACCTCAACTATTTTTCTAGTACCAAAATGACGTATATTTTCCCACATCACTATCCCAAACCTTTATTTGTGACACTTTAATGTGATGTGAAAACTATTTTTAATATAATCTCGTCTTTAAAGAGCCATTATGTTACTTTATCACTGACGTAAAAGCCTAATAATAGCGGCTTTATCTGTATGTTTATAAATTAATGACACCGTAAGATAAACTTTCAGAGATGCTTAAAAGTCGTTTTTAAATTTGACCCTTTCTTTGTTTTTTAAGAAATATGAGATCATTCTGGATATTAATTCGTTGGCTTTATATAAAGTTTTAGACAACTGTCTCTATCACACTTTCTTGTTTTTTTTCATCTTCTGTCTCCCTTTTTCCCAAAAATTGTTTCAATACATAATAATATTTAATAACCAAATGACCGGAATAAACTTGTTTATTTAAGGCGTTTCACTAAAATCGCAATAGTTAAAAATACATGGTTCAATGATCAAATTTATATCTAATTATTTCAACGGTGCTTTTGTAGACCACATCAACTTTAAATCAGCTCAAAATTATAAACTTGCTTAGAGCTCCTACTACGTAAGATCCATCGACCGGATTTTTCAAATGTACTAGCGATTCCCCAATTTTTTAACGCTGTAAGAAGATACTCACTTTTCTTAATTTAGTTTTTTCTTTCGCTTTGGCTAATTCTTCTTCTAAATACGTCCTGACTCCTATCTTGCAATCCATCACACAGGGACTATCGAAATCGCTCAACAGGTCTTGTAATTGTAGGTACACTGTATTATTGTGCTTGGTTAAAGAAATTTTTGGGATAGAAAATGGTGTATCTCAGAAAAACTGTAATATTAGAAGTCACATAACTAACTAATTCGATACTCACACTGCATCGAATTTTCAAATTGAAGTTTAAACATTTTTGTAGTAAGCTAGCGGGGTTATAAATTTGAAAACAAACAGCAATAGATACTGAAACGTGAAAAAGCCGTGAATAGCTATCCCTTAATATAATGTCTGGTGTATAAGAATTCATATTTTATTGTCAAAGGATACGTTCTCCATCTTCACATGTAACTTGACCCTTGAATTCAGGTACAAATGGCCGGAGGATATCCTTCATCAGCAACTGGAATAAAAACAAAAAATACATTTCAACATGAATTCGCAGAAAATACTTTAGGACTTATTGATAGATAAGTGCCTTTTGAATTGTAACAATTTGAACAGACGCGCTCATAATTCATTTGATGCTCAACGTCTCAGTAGTGTTGCAATAAAACTGGCTTTTCTTCAGAACAGTATGCATAATTTTATTTTCGTGATAGAGTGGAACCGTGTTATAAAATATCGTGTTATAAGAGGATTACGTGCATCAATTTTAAAAAAAGGCGACCTTCTTAGGTACATAATTCTGTAAAATAAAAAAAATATCTAACAAAGAAATTCGAAATATCATTAGCAGCGCGACTATTTCTAGTTCACGTTTTTGAATTTATTATTTCATGATGAAAAGTACTTGTACACTTTTATTCTCATGTTGATTTTGTATTTTTTAAAACTTATTGGCGTCCACTCGTAAAAACCGGGTAAAAATACTACAACTATTCCCTCAAAGTTTTAAATCTAAATCACTAGTTAGATTTTTCGTGTTTTTGAAAAGAATGTACCTAACTTATAATAATTTTATTTACCAATGAGTAAAATGTTTTTGAAGACACAAATGTCCAAAATCTTAGGTACTTTTGATGATAACATCACAATTTAAAAGCAAATTTCGTCTTTTTGTGCGCGAATACGATGACCTTGCAAATTAAAAAAAAAAATTAGGTAACCTAGTCTTGTATTACAATAAATAATGTAAAATACCCAAACAATTACATATGAACGCACCTTAAAGAAAAGTTTAAATTTAATTAGTATATATAAAATTGAACTCTTCTTCTTTTCTCTTTTGGAATTAGCATATTATTTTTGTTGATTTCTCTTAATACATTTTAATTAAGTGGTCAAATGAATACCTCCCAAGAAACGATGCACCCTATTTGTTTAGCCATAATACCGACTAAATCACGATTGGTATTCACCTACGTTACCATCAAGTTAATAAAGAACATAGCCCAACAATAAATCAAAAAGGACAATTTCAAAACGGTAATTCATAGCTGAATAATGTATAACAAGTTATTTATCTGATTCGAAGCAATAAATTTGCTACGGTTAGACAATGCAAAAAACTTACAAGTTTTACTTTGACACTGATACGATTTATGACCGGTGACGTCAAAACATATTTGTCTCAGTTTTACTGGTGAAAATCCTTTTATTCTGGTCTCTAAGCTAATTTTACGGATATCGGTTCTGTTGTCGTCTTTTCATATAACATTTTGTATACGTAATAAATTGAATGAGTCGTTTACGGGATTGGGATTGCGATGGATACAAAATTCTTCTTTTTGTAGCTACTGAATTAATAAGGTTACAACGTAATTTATTCGTTAACTGATTACTATCCGAAATAAAACAATGAAATGATTAATTAAATTTAATGATAAAAATCATGTATAATGACGCGTACGATCCTAATCTTCGTGAATGACATAATTGGTATCAAAACAAGCACAATAATAAGGGCAAACTTCATAAATCAGACAGACTAAAGACTGTTAGTATCATCAGAGAAATGATCAGCACAATACTCTATCAATGGTAAATTAAACATGGAAGCCAGTTCATAGCTTTTTTTATTCCTATTAATCGATTGAAAACAGGTTCGGGCTTTTAGTACATAAAAAGAACTTAGTTTAAGTACTACGTAAAAAGAAACTTTGAAGATAAAGGGATAATAACATCATTTAATAATGTTTCAAACTTTCAAACACTTATAATTTGCTAATAGCAAAGGGTTTTTTTAGTCTAAGGAGTTAGCGTTCTTGTTCGAATGGCCGGTAATTTGCACAATTTAGACTTCTCAAAAGAATTCACTGCTTCACTTGACTGAGCTACGACAAAAATTAATACTTAGGCCGTGAGCGCATCCTAAGTTAAAAATTCAATGGCGGAGTAAAATTAATAAAATATTTGCGTTGTCTGTGGCAATTATTTTTATCGTCTTTATATATAAGCGGGCATATAGCCAGCCTACTTGTGAGTAGTAACGGATTTCAGTAGTGATGGAACCTAGATAGGCTTCCGGGCCACCAGTAATCCCTGAATCATAAAAATAATAGTAAAAATAAAATGTAGTGACGGAACAAAGCCATGCTGCTGCCTAACGCTTTATTCAAGCCACATTTGAAGAAGTCATAAGAAGGATAAATCGGAGCAGTCAAAAACCACCTGGAAGCTCATTCCAGAACTGAATAGTAGGCACTAAAAATATTTCTAGAATAGAACTGTGCGTGACATTTATATCATAATATTATCGTGTAATTAATTAAACGTTTAAGAATTCGAGATTGTAATATGTATAATTGGGGTTTTACGCCTGACGCTGTGTTAACGATATGAGTAGTCATTTTTTACGTTTTATTTACTGTAGTTCTATTGACTGGTAGCGGTCTTTGGTCTTTTGGTCATGGTAAGCATGGTCTTTTTTTCTACAATGCCATTTAATCTGTTAAAAATATATTAAAAAACTTGCATAGGTAATTTTAATTTAATTTAAATAATAATAATAATAATAATAAAAAAATAATAATTTGGGTATTGTTAGTTAGAGAACTAACTCCTCAATCCCCAAATTCCGCTTATTTTGCTTATTTCTTTCGCGAAGCAATCGCGTATTTAGGCTTTTATAGCTATATCACAAATAGACTTGAAACCTCCATCTAATATCTTAAAATTGGATACAGTATTTATGTCATATTCATCTCATTCAATCATATTCATGTGGGCTCTAAACATCAGGTCGTTTGTGATTTCTCGCGAGCAAATGAAACTGATCTGGACTATTTTCAAACAAGACTGTGCTTCAAAGATGTCAAATTTGTTTTGCGGATACAAATGTTGATCAATTACAAATACAATACAAAAAATCAAACACATTATAAATCAAACAAAATACAAGAAATACAAAGAAGGGATACCGAAGACTGGGCAAGGTGGAGGAGTTTAAGTAAGAAAGCAGGCACTGGATCTAGAAAATTCGAAAAAACTCTAGGAATATAAATTATAAATTGTAATCGGATTTGTAGTCTGATAAATAATCATATTTGTCAAATTTCAATATGAAACATCAATGTAGAATCAAACATATCTAAAAGCGAGCTAATGGTATTTAAATCAGGTATAAAGAAAGACCTACGAAACTGTCACCCCTGTAAACTTTTTCATTTTTAGTAATTTTAGTTTTTTAAGCAAAAAGATTTGCAGATATAAGATGAGAATGGTACCACTGGGGACACAACTCAGCTGACTCAACTTTTCCTGATGAAAATCTGACAACAGATTAGATTATTGTTTTTCAAGAAACAGATTGCTAAGTTGCAGGATAGAAAAAAAAAGAAAAAAAAAAAAAAGGAATTTTAGTAATTTTAGTAATTTATTAATTTTGTGACATTCATTTTAATTTTATTCCGAATTTATTGTTATATTTTTTCAATTTCTATTCTATGTGAAATGTTATTTTTAATGAATGTAATACCTGAAATAAATAATATAAATAAAATAAATATCAGGGTAGTATTAAGCTAATCTCGCAAAAATCAATGTCCATTAGTGATGTACTTAGCGCTATAATAACAAATAATAAGTTTTTGTTCAACTTCGGAAGTTCAACTCTTATTGGTAGTTCAAAATCATCCGCAACGTTTTCAATTTGAATGATTCATTCTAGGAAAGTGGTTCCAACATCCTTTTTTTGGGATTTCACTTAAGATGAATTAGTCATTCGTTTTTCCTTGGTGATTAAGGCAAATATTGAATTTTGGATGATAGGGTAAAAGCATATAAGTCGATTCATACCATTGAAATATTGTAGGCTCTTGTGAATGTCGATGAATAAACGGGTCTACCTGAACTTAATGGCGCTAACATCGTGAGGCTTGAGGTAATAGTCTCAATAAAATTAAACGCTGCTACCGTTTCATAAAATGTGTTCTTTAACTAACCTCAAAGCATTTTTCTTCTTGCGGGCTCAGTTTCTTCAGGATGGTCCCTTGGTCAGGTCCCGCTTTGAAATTTCCTTGATGGCCAGCTAACTGGACCCAGGGGTACCTCTGCTTCTTGTACGTTTGGAAGAAAGGCGTCCATTGCACGATGTTGCGTAGTTTTCGCCAACGTTCGGATTGCTGGAAGAAGATAAGTCTTCTTAAAGACATTTGTTTTTGATGTTCGAAGCTCAGTGGTATATTGTTTATTTTTTATTTTTTTTTTATTGCTTAGATGGGTGGACGAGCTCACAGCCCACCTGGTGTTAAGTGGTTACTGGAGCCCATAGACATCCACAACGTAAATGCGCCACCCACCTTGAGATACAAGTTCTAAGGTCTCATGTATAGTTACAACGGCTGCCCCACCCTTCAAACCGAAACGCATTACTGCTTCACGGCAGAAATAGGCAGGGTNTTTTATTTTTTTTTTATTGCTTAGATGGGTGGACGAGCTCACAGCCCACCTGGTGTTAAGTGGTTACTGGAGCCCATAGACATCCACAACGTAAATGCGCCACCCACCTTGAGATACAAGTTCTAAGGTCTCATGTATAGTTACAACGGCTGCCCCACCCTTCAAACCGAAACGCATTACTGCTTCACGGCAGAAATAGGCAGGGTACCTACCCGCGCGGACTCACAAGAGGTCCTACCACCAGTAAAAATTATATTAATTAGTATAATAGTACAGTAATAATTATTATGTGAATGTGTGCGTTCACGGGTTGTAGCAGGAACAGCTGGTATATAGTAACAGTCAATCGATTTACTAAAACCATTTACCCTCTATTACATTATTTCATCAGTCTCCTGCCCATCTATCTCCTGTTTTATGGTATTGAATCACCGATACAGGACGAGCCTCTTAAGCTATAGAATTCTGATATCTATGATCTGGTCTGATAACGTTTTAGATGTATATGGGCTCCGGTAACCACTTAACACCAGGTGGGCCGTGACTTCGTCCACCTATATAAGCAATAAAAAAAATACTAATTTATTTTACGAGTGAAATACAAAAATAATTAAATGAAATGAAAAAAAATCTTGCAATTTAAATTTAATATACTGGCAACGAAAGCGTGTCGTCTAGCGGATAAGTACGAAAATAATTACATTAAGATGACGCAGATAGTAAAATAATTAATATTAATTCTAAATAATAATCGATTAAATTGTCAATTTACATTTTGATATCATTATTTACTAACGTCAGTGGTGCTCAAGATAAGCTTAAAATGTTTTAGAAAAAAACACAAAATATTACGTAGAAACTAAAACTTCAAATGATTTTTAGTCTCTATTTGGAGCTTCTCAATGCAATATACGATTGCCTGCTGCCTATTTGTGCCGCAAAGTTATGATGCGTTCTAGTTTAAATGAGAACCGTAATACCAATGCAATAATGTATCAATCTAATGTCACACGATGCGCAGAAATATAAACTGTAAATCATATTTCATAAGAACTATTTAACCATGGCATAACGCACGTAGACATACGCTGTTTAAATTATAAAAATAAATACACTTAAATTTTTACAGTTACACGGGAGATTTTTATTATATTTCAAAGAGAAGTTAATAAAAAACCTATCAATATTAACAAAGGTCAACTCCGAATATTTTATTCATTAGAATATTTTTAAAAACAAATATTATAATATTATAAAGACCGCTCTAAAATCAATCTTCTTTACTGGTGGTAGGACCACTTGTGAGACCGCGCGGGTAGGTACCACCACCCTGCCTATTTCTGCCGTGAAACAGTAATGCGTTTCGGTTTGAAGGGTGGGGCAGCCGTTGTAACTATACTCAGACTTTAGAACTTGTATCTCAAGGTGGGTGGCGCGTCTACGTTGTAGATGTCTATGGGCTCCAGTAACCATTTAACACCAGGTGGGCTATGAGCTCGTCCACTCAACTAAGCAACAAAAAAAAAAAAAAAATTGTAAATACAAGGTATTTTTTTTTGTTTGTTGTTTAAGCTTTAAGCATTTCGGATTTAAATAAATTATATTCTCATTTTCTCAAGACATGAGAATCGAGACTCGACATTTAAATGTCCAATAATTTTAAATAAGTGACAAACCTTAGTGTTTGAAACGTAAACGCAAAACACAACATCCGAGAACTCCTCAATCGTGAAGCAAATATCTTTGGAATACATTATGCACACAACAAAACTTCACTTTAAAAACCAAACAAAATTAATCAACGAATCCACAAGATAATCGCAAGGATTATAACTATAATTAAAAACTCCCGAAATCGTCCGTATCACACACGACAACGTTTTCCACGACACTGCGCCTTCTGAAGATCGCTTCGCTAATATAAACGGCCGTATCAATGAGTCAGGCTGGATTCAAACCGCAAAACTGACACAATGACGTCAGTAGAATACTATATAATATAAAAAATTGCCATAGGTGGAATTTACAGTTGCTGGCAGCGTAAACATAAGATATTACGTTTTATGCGAAGCAACGTAATCAGTCAGTTCTCCGTAATTTAGTTAGTTTAGTTAATTATTACTGATGGTAGGACCTCTTGAGAGTCCGCGCGGGTAGGTACCCTGCCTATTTCTGCCGTGAAGCAATGCGTTTCGATTTGAAGGGTGGGACAGCCGTTGTAACTATACTTGAGACCTTAGAACTTATATCTTAAGGTGGGTGGATTTACGTTGTAGATGTCTATGGGCTCTAGTAACCACTTAACACTGGGTGGGCTCTGAGCTCGGCCACCCATCTAAGCAATAAAAAAAAGTTTCTAATGATGATCATTTTAGAAAATTTGACATGTTCACTTTTTTGTGGTAAGAAGAAGACTTGAGTTTCTGACCGAACCTTCACAGTTGTCAAACTGATTTACGAATCAGTGGTAAAATTGCGACATTCTGAAAGTGACCGGAAAAACCTATTTGAATATAATTAAAGTAAATTGAAGAACCCTCTTAGTTTTTATTTCAAATCACTAAATCACTAGTTGTGTTAGGTTTAATCAGTGTTTTAATTTTGTTTCGTTTCGTATTAAATTACTTTGTATTACCTTGTTTTACTATATTATAATAATATATCGTATCTTCTAATCCTAAATTTTTATTTTTATTTTTATTGTCGTGTACAGCAAAAGAAACCCATAAATATTTTGATTATAATTCATCGTTTTTCTGTAATGGGCCACCGCAAATCATTTTCTGTGACAGGAGTGTGATTGAGCTCACACTCGACCACCGCAATACGTAATACGGAGCATGTCGCCTGCCTGAAGAATTGAAATACAAATTACGGTTATTCTGTTCTTAAATACTTGTTGTAATCTTTGTAGCCACAGATTATACGTGCTGGTGGTAAAATAAGTACCACAGCCTTCTTTCCCCCTAGCTATTGGTATGGTAGGCTAAGGGGCTATTTTAGCTACGCCCACACGGGTAGGAGAGCTCACGGGCTCAACCACAGAGAATTTGCTAACACTAACCCTAGTGAGAGCACTACTTCGCAGAGTCTACCACCGGATTGGAATCGCGGCCCACTGAGAAGATCCGATGAGAAACTCAGTGCGCTACAACTACAATGTGGTTACCGCTGCCCTGCCTATTTTCTGCCATGAAGCAGTAATGCGTTTTAGTTTGAAGAGCCGTTGTACAGCACTGTAAAAATTGAGACTTAGAACTCATGCCTCAAGATGGGTAGCCAAATTTACGTTCTTTATGTCTATAGGCTCCGGTAACCACTTAACACCAGCTGAGCCGTGAGCTGGTCCACCCATCGAAGTATTAAAAAAACACTTACCTGCCTGTTATGTAACCGTCAAGCCAGTTTTCTTATATATTATATATACACGTATATTCGTAATAGAAGGAAATATCGTTTAATACATTTTTTGATCAATTTATTATAAACGAATGATACAAAAAAAGGACCGTAGGGAAATACTCTGTGCTATAAATAAAACAATATAATTGCTAAGTTATTTCGAATTCTAACCCGTCATAATAAAGTTTAATATCATTTTTTTCGGAAACTAACAATTAATTATGTGAGGTTTTTACTGTTGCCATAATTTAATGGATTCGTGTTTAATCTCTGAACGCTATAATTGGTAGTTACGCTAATTTAGTGGTGAGTATTTATAATATTACTGGTCTATCAGTAATCAGTTTTGTTGTACCTATTGGGCCCAATGTTTGATGGTACATTGCGCGAGAGACCATTGCGACTTTTAATAAAACAGTCATTCATGTTATAGACTAAATTCAGATATCAAACTATTTCTTAAGGTTTTTTTGTCTTATCATCATCATCATGATAGCGTATGCCTACAGGTAGATTACTAAAAAAATCTCGTTACATTAGATTTAAAAAAATTTATACTTATTTTTATTGCTTAGATCTAGGTTCTAATTCTCAGTTTTATAGTCCACCGGATGCCCCACTCTTCAAATCGAAATGCATTACTGCTTCATGGCAGAAAATAGGCAGGGTGATGGTGCCTACCCGTGCGGACTCACAACATACCCTAATACCGGTGTACTGCAGCGAAAATGTTCCGCAATATTAATCAGACTATTTTTCAAAGAGTCAATAAAAACTGTATAAGGACGAATCGATGATAGAGCGGTTTCACTGTTCACGGAATATTTTACAAATCGGCTGATGTTATAGGCAAAACCCGAGTACATGGGCTAAGGAAAATATATAAGTTATACAATAATAAATGTCCTATATGGCAAGGACGAAGTCCATTCGAAATATCTTTAGTAATGTTATCATTCTTTTAAAAATGTATTTTATAATATTTTTCACACAGACCACCTGATGTTAAGTGGTTGTGTGTGTGGTGTGATGTTAAAGTTACTGGAGCCCATAGACATCTACAACGTAAATATGCCACACACCTTGAGATATTGTTCTAAGGTCTCAGTATAGTCACAACGGCTGCCCCACCCTTCAAACCGAAACGCATTACTGCTTCACGGCAGAAATAGGCGGGGCGGTGGTACCTACCCATGCGGACTCACAAGAGGTCCTACCACCAGTAATTACGCAAATTATAATTTTGCGGGTTTCATTTTTATTACACGATGTTATTCCTTCACCGTGGAAGTCAATCGTGAACATTTGTTGAATGCGTATT